AGACAGGTAACAACTGTCTGGAAAAACTTCTACTTCTACTACTACGCTAGCTATTAGTGGGGTTCGTACTTTTTCATGTACGTCAAAGTTTGTTCTAGAAAGTGTTTTGAATGTGCTCACATAGTTCTTGGCATTGATACTGCACCCTGAGTAGTTTACGAGGAGCTTTAGGATCCCTTGCATGTTGGAGGATGCAGCACAATGTAGAGGTGTGTCTCCATCCTATAAAGAGATTGGAAAAGATGTACTTTCCATATCACTACAAACAAAACTGCATTTTTCATGTTGTTCTTTCACTTTCAGGATATACGTCAAACATGATGAGGATGAATTAAGCATAAGCTTATTGAGACGGAATCTATAGAAATAGTGAATTCAAAAGAATCAATTGTAAGTTATAATTTCTCATGTATCAAATCAATGTCCACATAATTCATAAGCACGACAAATTTCCTTTTTTAGCGTCATGTAGTACTTGATTTTAAAGCGTACCTGATTTTTGCAGTTGATTTGGCTGCCTGCATTCAGTAGCAGTTGTACAACATCTGCATGGCCCTTCAGTACAGCCTGGTGTAGGGCACTGTTACCCTACACACCACAAATACAGCAATCATACAATTGCAAGGGAAATACATAGTATATACTAGTATTGAATTAACACCTGGCTTAAAAGTACAATGTATAATGTTATGTAATGTTGATATCTTTACATCCAGTTGTTTATAGCAATTTATTTTGATTTATAGAAAGACACAACTGTTATGAGCATGAATGTTATAACAAGGGTTAGAGTTCAATGACAAGTGTCACTGTTTAGTCTTGTTAAAAGAAATGAAATACATTAATTTTCAAAATTGCAACACTTGTAATCTACAATGTTTCAAATTTCTCAACACACCCTTCTTCACTTCACTCCTTTAGTGGTCAGTCAGGGGGTTAGTAGGAGTCTGTAATGTGGCATGACTAGTAATACTTGTCTGTCGGGATCTCCCACATTCACATCCGCGCCTCTCTTCACCAGTCTCTGTATTCTTGTCACCTCCCCTTCCTCTGCAGCCTCAATCAGTTCCTGATGAAAATGATAGAAAAAAGAATGGACTTTATTGCTCTACAATCGTACAGGGAACAGGTATTAAACAACAATTCTGAAAGTCTATATCCTACATTGCAAACTACAAAATATCATTGATAATGTTACTGTATTTGACTTCTAGACATTATGGTCATGAAATTAACATACTTTGATGATTTGGATGATTTGGTCTTGCTTTTAGAGTGAACTACAAACTCATGATGTATCTTTGGAGTAGTCTGCTTGTATGGAGATATCTTCAGAAAAATTCTTTTGAAAAAAGTACATCTACAAATATCAATCTCCTTTAATTTTTATTTGTCAGCCTAAAACATTATACATGTACTTTATACTTTCAAAGTTTGATAATAAAGTACTCCCTGCTGTTGACTTCCCAAATGATAGACTATCCAAAATGACAATGATATTTGGGGTGTATAATTGGATAGGGATTAATCAGCATCGTACACCTTCCCCCTGGCATATTGTACACAGTAATGTTTGTATTTTGACAGAAAACATGTGCACCAACAGGACCTCCCATAGAGCGGCAACAGCTGGCTCCGCCCACCCACAGTTTGATTGACAGGTGACAACTGGTCCCTCCTCCTATGGGGGGTTAATATCTACACATTGCCTCAGGTCACATGACTGAATGATCTTGATACATGATTGTAATCTATTTAGCCTGTCAACAAATGATTCAACTAGGTCTTAATTCCTATCAATGATTTCTTTTCAAGATGGTGCTTGTATATCGGTTGGAAAAAAATTAAAACTTTACTTTAATTCAAGTGGGAAACATGAAATATAAATTATTTAAAGCACTACTAGTGTCAATCAAACTATCACTGTATATAACTGATTGATTACAAGTGGGAGAACTACAATTATTGTAATATCAATCTTGTATCATACAATCATAATTATGATATGATACAATAATCTTCTAGGCCCATAATTTAAGGCAAAAAGATGACTCCTGCAACTAGGAATACACATAACCCTAACAGACTGTTTACTGCAAAGAAGTTTGCATTGAATACATGGCAAGAAATAAATATAAGTCATATACAGATGACACACTCAGTATCACACAATACTAAATTTGGTATCACCATATCTACAACACAGAGTTATCCCCATTATATCCCCTTTGAGCCCATTTAAATCCCAGCCCAGATTTTGTGGTATCATTGAATGTTGACAGAAGCTTCAGCCATTCTAGGAACTAATCTCACCTTAGTTGGAACAGCATGGCCAACTTCTGATGTCTCAAAATCACTACAACTGTGACTCTCTTGCAAAACCCCATAATTTCTTTTCCTCAACATGATACATCTATGATATTATTATTAAGATGTCAAAGCTATAGCGGTCTGGTCCAAGTGACCCTAGCTGTTACACTATAATGTCAGTATGGGTGCGCCGTGTAATCTAAGTAGGGTTCCAAGTGTAATGATCGCCAACTGAGAGGTTTCTAACCATTGATAGCGAAGTGTTTCGCTGACGTCGCGAGCGTCGGAAGAAGCAGCCTTGTGTCCCGAGGCATGTTGTGGGCACTTCCTTCGCATTCCTGAAGAAACATGAACGTGAAAGTCGTCTTAGGCCAAAGTAATGCAATTAACATACCCAATGTCACTCTTCTAGTTAGAGTCTTAGGTCTGTACAGTATTGACTTCAAATAATATTCCCCTTGTAACACTAGCAATTGTTTCTATCATAAAAAAATTCTCTTCCAGAATCATCATCATATTCACTATTAATAAAGAAAAGGTATGTACTACAATGTCAAAGAAGTGACAATTTGATAACATTCACAGTTTTATCTCTAATTTATAATCATGTCAAACAGGAATTTCAATAATTGCTCTAAAAGTTTCATGTTTTGCTCGTTAAGAGCCAATGATACTGTTTCTTTCATAACTATAAACATATATATCAACTTTTCAACATAAATTTTTACAAACAATTTATAACTTAACCATCATTTACTGATAAAAATTAGATCAATTATCTATGAACGTAAGTATAAGCATCAGATTACGGTTTATCTCACACTGCCATCACAAAAGATCATTATCAATCTGGAAATCCCTTTTATATCTACCAACAGACAAACACTACCATGTGCTCTGAATGCCCCCCAACATGCAAACATGTACATGTATATCTGTACACCCAACATGCGATCTGAGTCCCTGCCAGACATTTTCAGTGCAGGAATCTGAAGCCTCTGGTATATAAAGTTGGAGGTGACATGTGAAATATCTGCACGTACAGTTGTTGTCTTCCAGGTTCCATCCCAGCTTTCTCCTCCATGGAAGCCATGTTTGACCTATCCCGACCTTACGCACCATTTGGGTGATATTTCTTACGTCCTAGGTCCACCACACATGCTTGTCCAAGTCCTTATAGAATGACAACACATTTGTGCCATATTTTTACCCCATTCCCATGTGTTCTTCCCTTCAGCTGCCTGGAAGAATGGGTCTCACATACCGGGGTAAGGGGACACCACCACACATGCACACAGGCAATGCCCATGCTTATTACTTAGTAATTGCTAGTAACCCTGTGAGACTTAATTCCATGCTTAACTACCTCACAAGTAAAACGTGAACCACTTAAGTATAAATTGACCCACACCTACATCCTATCATATCAAAATACTGAACAAAACTGATTCAATGATACAATGTTTTTCTTGATTTTCCCTGATTTTCCCCTTAGTACTTAGTATGTATGCTGACTTTGATGCAACCATTCAAAGATTTCATAGATTCTTCACTGAAGTATGGAAAATAACAGCAAGGCCTTGTTTTCACATCAAGGGGATTTATCATGTCATAACATGCAAAATTATCATATTACAACAACACCTAGAGCTTTCAACCTATTGAAAAATGGGCTTGCAACTTTCCCCTAAAGGGCTGCCTGCCTGAACACCTAAAAGGCAAAACTACTATAATTATCTTTTATGACAAAATTGCATGTGTCCACAGTGACAAGAGAACTTTTGTTTGAAAATTTTCAAAAACACTTTTTGGTACAAAACTCAGTTAAAGTACATACTGAAAACCTTAGTCGAGCTCATTGCTGCTACCAATACCACAAATACCTTTTGTCTTTCAAGTATGTGAAAAACTAAACCTTTGGTTTGGATTTCAGACTGATGTTTTGGGGTGACATGCACCTGTTACTGTCAACATAAGATCTCATGAATATTCATGTTTGCCTCATGAATATTCATAACCATAAAGCACCTAACATTCTGGGCTGTACCATCTGGTGGCAACTTGATAGGGGGTGACTGAAAAGGGGTCATCTGGGTATTTGTTTATTTTCAGTCCCCCGTGGCTGTTGAGGCAAGTTGATGGGGTTGTTTTATGTACTTAGTGTTATAGCAACATTGGGAACAATGGTATCAGTGACTTTGAATAGTATAATTGACGTGCTTTGTGGGACAACATCTAGGGCGCAAAAAGCGTATCTTTACACATTAACAGGGCTCAAAATACTACCTGTACTACTTTTTTTTTCTGCATACCTGCATTGGTGGAGCAGACATTCAAAATTTATATAATACCAGACAAATTTTACCTGCACCACTCAGAATGTCAGTGGAAGCAACACCAAAGAGCTTTTTTTTTAAAGCTCCTTGGTAACTAGCCTGGTATCCAGTCTGATTCGTGGTCGGGGCCGCAAGAGCTCTGGCCCGCCCGCCTCACATTAGCGTCCCGGTGTGTATTTCACGAGAGATTAATTAGCCCTCCACGAACGTTGTATCCTGTTGGGGGAAACCAAATCCCGGAGCATACTGTCTCTAATTAGCGTAACACTCCTACCGGGACGGTCTGTTGCACTTGGCGGGGGAAGGTCTTAGAGGCCCCGAAGACACAACCTGCCTAAACACCCCAATACCCCCAATCACGATCAGACTGGATACCAGGCTACTTGGTAACACTAACACCAAGGACATTATCTGCCACTGCCAGTGTATAAAAAATTATGTTCTTGGTAACACTAAAATCACTAACATGCCATTAGGACACATTGACAGCCAATGCAGGTAATGAAAATCAACCTACACCTACTAGTAGTACACCAGTGGACTGGTTCAGGTAGGGTGCAAGTAGACATCAGAAATACGTGCACAGCTCAATTTTACCTGCACTATTGCATATGCAGCCTAGTCAGATTTCAAACCCTGATTAACTATGTTGTACTAAATCCATAAATCTAGAATACCAACCATATTATATCTGTACATAACGTTATATCATCTATCCTGTAAATTATGTGTGGAAAGTATGATCACATGTTCACAACCAATCACCGAGTTGTCGTCGATTTGAGACTTGCTGCACTAGAAAAATTATAGAACGAAAATTATATGCTGAATTTGTCACGGTTCCAAAATGCATAATGTTATCTCTTTCTCATAAATAGAGGGAAAACTTACCTGTAGACACGTGGTTGCAGTTGGCAGCGATGAACTTGAGGAAAACTTCGCCAGAAATTAGGAAAACTTCGTAAGAAACTTCTCTCACCAAACGTTACATCTTTGCTTTTACACCGGCACGGACTGTTGCAACGTTTTTTTAGGGGGGAAGTTAGAGACGTTTAATGTTTAGCAGTCTCTGGTCTTTAGTATGTAACAGATGTTCTAGATATTCCATTTATGAAATTTTTATCAAATCGTGAACATTTTATAACTTTTCTGAGGGAAAATCATATGTTTTGATGACTTTTCTTGTGAAAAATAATCCTTCAAGTTTCGAACCCTCTGGCAGCAATAATGAAATCGTCCAAATGTACGCACTGAACCCTGGGTAAAGCATCATGGCGGTCTGAAACGCATTTTCAAGGATTTTTGGACAAAATTGGACAGTTTTTGTACCTTTGGAGACACACTTCAGACACCACCCAAGGACACACAGAAGGTTGTGGTAGGTATCGAGTCTGGTTTCTGCCACTCCAAGCGTTTCTTTGGCGGTAAATAGGGTAAAGTTTTTGGCTCCCTCAGTCTGGGGAGGGGGGCGCTTTGTTCCGTGAATTTATATGTATACCTAGGTATCGACAGTTTATAGCAAAACATATCAGGTAAAGATGATCTTGAGCTCATTTTGACCATCCTTATAGTGCTACCAGTTCAATTGATCCCCATACGATGTGTAGACCTGCAACGACTGAACTAAACTGAACTAAACTTATTGAACGTGTCCAATATGAGTGTGCTTTAACTGTAGCTGGTGCGATCAGGGGGACTTCTTACAATTCTCTCCTCACTGAGCTAGGGTGGGAACAGCTCTCTGATCGCCGCCATATTCAGTCTCTTGTTTTATATTACAAAATCATTAACGGTCATACACGAGAATACTTAAGTGAGCTAATACCACCCCCAGTTTCAAATTCCTCTTCGTATGACCTTCGCAATAAACATAATTTTCAAGTGCCCAAAAAAAGTACTACAACCCGTTTCAAAAAATCTTTCATTCCCTACTCAACGCATCATTGGAATAACCTTAACATGGCAGACCGCTCGCTAAGTCTCCCTTGTTTTAAGAAGAAAATCATTAAATCTGTGCGCCCTGCCCCTGTTCCATATTTTAGCATAGGCCCTCGGTACACTTGCGCTCTTCTCACTCGTCTTCGTCTGGGCACTTATAATTTAAACTCAAATTTGTACACACGTTGTCTGGCAACCAGTCCTGCATGTACCTGTGGCCATCCCATTGAAAGTATCCAGCATTATTTTTTGTACTGCCCTAAATATACACAATATCGTGCCTCCCTTTTTAGCAATTTAGCTAAGTTGGTAGGATTTGACATAAACCTCAATGATCTCTCTGATGACGTTTTAGTTCATTTATTCCTTAGAGGTTCTGTATCACTATCATATCCAAATAACTTTAAACTTTTACTTTATGTTCAATCATTTATAAAGGAAACTAAAAGATTTGAGTAAATCTTTCCTATCAATTTTGTAAGTTTTGCCTGGAGTACTTTATACATTGTAACCTTATTTATTCTATTCTGTTATTATTAAGCTTTGCATGTCTGTTTTTGCATATGCTTCTGTATTTTTGTAATGTTAGATGGCGACATGAACATAAGCTCCGGCTTGAGTGTGTCGTCATCCTGTCCACTTTGTTCCTAAATGTTTTAATAAAGAAAAAAAAAACTAAATGGAGATAGCTTTGGGCACAGTTTGTTTTTGTACCATGGACTAAATAATTTTCGTTCGTGTTTGAAGACTGAAGGAACCTGAACAGTTCTGTTTACTGGTTTCTTCTTAACCCCTAGTAGTACACAAAACCTTGTTCTATTACTTCAGCTGCGAATATTACATACATGATAGTCCTCCCTTAATCGTGGCATCTCTTATGTGTAGTTATCTTGAAATTTTCGACTGTACATAATAATATCTTATTATATGTAGTTGGTCTTACAAATGTTGACTAAACTAAGTTGTACATTTCTTGTACATCTTCTGTCCGTAGAAAAATGTCGGATCACTCGATGTCGACTCCAGGCCAATCCCAGCACACCAGCAATCTGGACCAATCAGGTGACACCCTGAGCCTGAGTAGCTCCCTGAATGACAGCACGAGTCTGTCCATTTCCATGTCCTCAGACCTGTCCAAACTATCCACTCCAGGTAAGCAAAAACATTTCTTTGTGGCGTGTTCAGTTGGTTGATTGGTTTGTATAGTACAGAGTGTATTCACCCACATGGTGGTTTTTCTGTTCTTTTCTTCTCTGCGCTTTGGACAATTTGTTACAAATGCATGGTTGATCAGTTAGAATGTCAGAAGTTCTTTGAAAAGGAAATGTGGACCAGAAAATGGCAGTGGTTTCATTCTACACAACACTCTTAACTCTAAAGTTGAAAGTACTTAGAACAAATCATGTACGGGTACCCAACCGAAGAAGAAGAAAAAAAGCAGAGTCATAAATACCTTCATTCTTTTTATTAAGTGTTGTTGGTTCTTCAATAGGTTCTACAAATTACAATGTATGGCTCACTGTAAAGATTTACCTATCAACATTCAGAGCATGCAGTTATACAACCCTTTCTGTACAGTTCTATTCAAAATTATGTCGGTTTTTTCAGGTAGCGCGCCTGTTACACCAGGTACATCCAAGATGACTCCGCCCCTCCCAAGGTCAACTCCCGTCTCTTCCCAGCTCACCAAACGCCGCAGCTCCTCGCGCTCCATCAAACGGAAGAAATTTGACGACGAACTCGTGGAGAGCAGCTTGGTGAAGACCACCAAGGTCCCAGCCCGCCCAACAACGTCTACATTACCAGCAACACAAACCCCACACTCACATGTCATTACAGTTCAGCCTGAGAAGAAGAAAGTCAAGGTGGGTACGATGCCTTGCAGTACCGATTATACCTGCTAGAGGGCAGCAATGCACTGTATATGGTAATGCCGTCTGACCATGATAATTTGGTACATCGTATTTCCTTAAAAAGACTACCGGGTAGTACTCATATATTGCAATACTAGTAGTAGTTTTCTTTCAACTATCTTTCATCTGCTGTTCATGAAACTTATGAGCAAGTTTTCTTTATTTATTTTACAGGTTTCAAAATCATCACAGAAAAGGGCCAAGAAACCTAAGGTTAGCATTTCATACACTGTTCTCTTTTGTTTTGTATGGTTTCAATATTCATGATGTCAATGTGGGCAACTTGTTTACTCATAAACATTTCATTTGGGTGAATGATGTTTGTGGCTCAATTTGTCCAATCTGTATAGTTGTACAATCTAGACATTGTTTGCTTCCATTTTGTTGGACCATCTGCATTTTTTGTGAAATCTAGCTCCATTTTTCTGGACAAATATAAGATAATTTATCTGTATTTAGATTACATGCAATATACACTATGTTCCTGAAATTGAGTGTCATAGAGTTTCAGGTGTAAGAAAACATTTGCTTCATGTAGGTTTATAAATGGTTTTGAGAAATGCTGATGCTTTTAATTGTGAGATGATGGTCATGTAAACAGAGTCTAATTTTGTTGGTTCTTTTTTTTACAGCCAATCCCAGTAACTAAAGACTTGGGTAGATGGAAACCACAAGATGATCTACTTCTCATCAATGCAGTACAACAGGTAAGGACTCAGGGCTGTACCATTTGTAGATTGGGGGTGAAAAGAATGTCCCATTACCTGCTTTGTCTCTCATTGTTACCAGGCTTTCAAAAATTGTGTTTTTGTTGTTTCAGACCTGTGACCTGAAGTCAGTTCACCTGGGGGTGAAGTTTTCCTGTAACTTTACTCAGAAGGAAGTAGAGGAGAGATGGTACGCACTGCTGTATGACCCAACCATATCCAAGTAAGTCATATACATACTAGTAATGTAATACTAATAACATGGTTCTGTCTCTTGTAGTATGTCTGACATGATACGATATTTATACAGAGACTGAATTTTGTAGTATACAATGTTGCAGCACTACTTTTTACTCCTAGTTTTAAGAAATTTCTTCTTGTTTTGCTTAGAATAGATTTAGACATGTATTTAGATATGGAAACTGCGAAGCTGCCAAAGTTGTTTAGTCTTTTTCACACTGACTTATGACTTGACGTACTGTTCGTTAGACTTGCAGTCCAAGCCATGAGAAATCTCCACCCAGATGTAGTAGCAGCCATCAATGCCAAGGCACTCTACAGTAAAGAAGAGGAAAGTCTCCTGGCTAAAGTGACCTCAGTAAGTTATCAATTTTTATTGCTCCATCATTCCTGGTTCCACATACAATGTACATACATGTACAGTGTATATGGTTGGAGTATAATTTGTTTCTCACAGTTTTGTTGCTTTCATTGCTTAGTTAGGGTATCAAATATTTTAAGTTACTGGGGATCGAAGTTCTGAATCCCTTCTTGGTTCCTGTTACCATGCTGTTACAGAGAACAGCAGGACTCAGAATCAGAGCTCTCTGTTCTCCCTTAAACTTGAGGCAAACATTCAAGTATAAGGTGCAAAAATTATGTTTCTTCAGTATATGTTTCCATGCCATGTATAGTACATACTGCTGATTTTATTTACCGGTACCTATTGTTTACTTCATGCCTATAGCCCATATCCACACAGCGTTGAAATATATGGTGTATCACATGTTATCTCACTTTTTCTTCTCCAGACCAGTCAGCCCACAGTTGACATCTTTGCAGACCTCCTTCAGAAACATCCAGATGTGTTCCACCTCAGCAGAACTCCCAAGGTGCTTCACACACACTGGCTCCAAATGAAACAGTACCACCTATTGGCTGATCAAACAGGTAACAGACCAATCAGAGAGCCTGTTGCTACTTATTGTGATGTGGAACATCTAGTTTAAAAACTTCCATAATGTTCATTTTAAGGTGTACATTTACTTGACTTTTGTCCATTTTACCTACTCAATTCTGCCTTTTTTGTTTTTTCTTCTCTCTATCCTATGTTAAATTGTTACTGTACCAATATTGACTAGTAGGTTGCTTGGTGCAATAGTTAGGGATACATTTTAATTTATGTCTTTGAATGTTGTTCTTCCAGTTCAGCCCCTCCCACGCGGAGACCACATCCTCAACTTCTCTGACGCTGAAGACATGATCAACGATGAGGAACTCAAGGAAACAAAAGACGAAGTTCTGGAACATGGTAGGAATTCTTTTCTTCTTACTTTGATACTTAATCATTTTGCAGTTTCCTAGAAAATTGCCATATACAATCTGTTTTGTACCAAATAAGAGACTCACAGAAATTTTTGACCAAATTTATGCCACGCATGCAAAACAAAAATCACATGTATATGGCACTTGGGTTAGATACCTGATGAAGGCTGTGAGATTCAGTCAAAACTTTTGGTGAGTCGATTTTCTTCAGTTGAAGAACAGTTCATCTTGCATGTAATTTACCAACTCAGATTAACTGTCATGCTAGTATCTTGTACCTGCATGTTTTCTGTTGACACAGACTGGAAAAAGAAAGTTTCCAAATCCAGCGTCAGTACTAGTCAATTTTTTGGCGACACCTCAGTGGTGAAGGAATTTTTATTTCTTTTTGCTTGACCGTCTGTACTGTTGTTCCACAGAGCTGGCGATCTCAGACAGAAGACAGAAGCGGGAAATCAGGTTCTTAGAACAGGAGATTCCCAAATGGCAGGTGTTAGTAGATGCTGTCACAGGTGAGCTGTCTTTCTCTCTCTCTCTTTCAGTCAGTCTTGAAAGACCATGAGTATGACTTAAACTTTTTTTTTAATGGAGTGGTTCAATGCAAGGCCTATACGACCACTTCTCAGCATTGAACTAGAAATATGAGAGAAACATGGCTATGTCAAGACATGGCGATGAAGGTTTGATTTGAAAGCCTGTAGATTGTAGGTTGGTGGGAAACACTTGTCATGGAGGGAATTCCAAAGCTTGGCCGTACGGGGAAAGAAACTGTCACTGTAAAAAGATTTCGAACAAGGAATTTGGACGGTGAAGTTATGTGAGCTAGTGGAGAACCTAGTGGAGTGCTTAAAAGTTCTCAGTGGTGGAACTAGTTGGGTGAGTTGTGCAGAGCAATGTCCATGAAAATAAACTGTGCAAATTTGGGTGGAATGTTTCCTTTGTACTAGTCTTTTACTTTTTTAGTACATTGTTGTTTTCTGCTCCTACAGGCATCAGCCCACCAGACTTTGACAACCAGACATTGGCTGTCCTGAGAGGGAGATTGGTACGCTATCTCATGAGGTCACGAGAGGTCAGTATCATACCAGACAGTTTTCAGACATCTCTGTATATGTGGCCCTCTTGATCCACTACAGTCTCAATCACATGTATGGCTTGATCTTGAATGCTTTTTGTCTTTCTACTATTTTCAAAAACGCATGCAAAATGCTACCATATTGCAAACTTTTTTTCAAGTCTTCAGCTTACAATATATGTTACTTAGATTTTGCTCAGAGCAAATAATATATGGTCCTGTACATGTACTATAAAACAAAGTTCCTTGTATGTTCGTTGCACAAGGCAAATATCCTTATACAAGTGGCCCGGCACACAAGTATAAAACCAACTTCCTCATGCCTAATAGTACTTAATGTCCTTTACACTAGATAACACTAGGAAGATCTACAAAAGACAACACCATAGATGTGGACCTGTCCCTGGAGGGGCCTGCCTGGAAGATCTCCAGAAGACAAGGTGTCATCAAACTCAAGAACAACGGAGATTTCTTCATCATGAACGAGGGGAAACGGCCCATCTATATCGACGGGAAACCAGTCCTCAACGGGCAGAAATGGAAACTCAACAATAACTCTGTAGTAGAGGTATGGTTTTCTTTTCATTTTAAATTTACTTTCTTAATTGGCAATTTCTACACACTGATGTAAGATAGAACAGATGAATGGAAGGCTTTATCATGCTGTATTACTCCATGCCATGACAATATTCAAAGTCTTTTTTGCATTGTACATGATTATGATATCTATTCTTAGGTGGTTATCATAACGATAGATTTAAAAGCAGTTATCAGTAATTAGAATAGACACCAAAAAAGCCAAAAGACTGTAAGATAACACATGTACAATTCACAGTTAAGTTACAATATGAAACTACACAATTTTTCCTTTGCTAACAGTTCAGTATGACTCCAGAAAGACTTGCTATATATTTAAGATATAATTAAATGTAGTTTGTGACTCTTGTTATGTTACACTTTTCTGTTGAGGTATTTTCAGTGAATGTTGTTTTTACTTTCAGATTTCGTGCTTGCGGTTCATCTTCTTGATCAACCAAGACTTGATCAACGTGATCCGAGCAGAAGCAGCGAAAATGGCTCAGTGACAGAACACAACATTAGCTGTTGTTGTATATAGATGGAAATAGCCTTCCCTGTAAATGTACATAGTAGTATACAATCGTTCTTGTGAAATACTATTTTTACTATTAAACATCTTCATTAGTAAGGATAAAAAGAACAGAAAAAGCGTGTCTCCATGTAGTCCTTGAAAAGTCTAAGAATTTGTGTAAAAAGTATCAAATTGTGTCAGTTACTAGAATTATGTTTGTATGATACATATACATAATGTCCATTGTTCTGAGTATTGTTTGAGTTTGTATTTTGTTTTTTCTGCTTTATAGAAATGTGTTGTTTTCAAGGAAATAAAGCAGAGATTTAATATTTGACCACATTGAATTCATAGTTTTTATTTGTTTCAACTTATGTAGTTTTCTCAGATAAATACTTACGCAGAATATTCAATATATAGAAAATCTACAATGCAATGGAAATGTACACCAACCAAACTTTTTGAATACTTAATTTCACCAAATCCCTTGAAACATATATGGGAAGTGCTAAGATATATATTAAGTAAACATAAATACTTTCAAATTGCAACTCTTTTTAAAAACAGTACCTTTTTGAAGCTTACATAACACACCATATTTTCTATACTTGTGGTATAAGGCGATGGTTTGTATGTGCACATAAGTCTGGCTATGTGAATGAACTGGCACATGTGAAGGTGTGGACTCCAGTTGCAGTGTTGTTGTAGGCCTCACATCGTCCAAAGGTATGAACTGCTTCTAAATACACATCAGGCAACAAATCTTCAATGGTCTCCACCTGGAAATAAGAGAACTGGGTTTAATACTGTAGATTGTGACATTTTTGCTTTGTTTTTAACCAAAAAAACACATGCTTTGGCACCACAATCTTTTGATTTTCACTGTGCACAAAACTTAAGTGCTGCAAAATCAAATCAATTTGCAGTACACTGTGTCACTTCACAAGAAGTGAAGCACTGTACAGCCTTACATGTGTGTATCTTATTTAGTCAGAATACCGGTATTTGCAATATTAGCTCCATGATGAACTCAACATAAAAGAGTCTACCACTGCCTCATAGAAAATGGTGTTGTATTTTTTTTGATTTACAAAAAAAGAAAAACAATGACTTTATAAAATGTTCAGAATTCTCCCTAGTTTCATTTGTGGACAAAAAAATGTCTTCAGTCCTAAATGTCCATAACAATTTTGAGTAACGGTGACTGACCGGTAAGTTGTTTATTTCTTCCACAGTTAGCCAGCCATCCCTGTTGGTATCCAGGCCTTTAAACACCCAGTCAGTGATGACCACTTCATCATAGATAACCTGGGCTTGTACCATGTCTTTGGGCAGTTTGCCACCATATTCTTCAAGGTACACTCTGATGACATATCTGCAGACAAGAAACAAATTTATATTGGTTTCATTCGAAGAACACTTCGCAGCCAGAAGGCTGAATTACATGTCCCATACATTTTTAAAGGGGTAAAACGAACTTTGTGACACAAATTCAACCCGAAAGTGTCCTTTTTTTGGCTACACCTCAAGGTTGGAGCCTACTTTTTCACTTTGAAACTAACCGGTTAACCTATGTCTTGACTTGAGCTTGCTGTCAAAGATTTCAGTCACTTTTCCAACTTCTGATGCACTCTCACTGATGGTTGACCAAGGTATGTACTGTATGTGTAAAAATACAGAGCGGCATGGAGAGAGAGAGGGGACTTGGTCCAGGCAACTCGCCCGACCTGATGATGCTGATGATTTAAAATACAGTGCATGTACAGTGATAAATGTTAGACATCCAGGTAATCAGATGTGTGCTGAGATAACAGTTCCTCAACAGCATATGTTTCAGGTTAATCCCCCAGCAGATCTTTTGGTGGTTTGGTGGCAGACAGTTACCATTTGCCACCCAAGTACAACGCATGCATTTGACAAATCCACCTTATATATTTGAGTTATCTAAAGACATATCTAATTGCAAAGAAAATCATCACTACATGTACCTTATTTGCTCTCCTTGCTTTAACTCCAGTTCACTAAGCCGTACAGGTGTTTGACTGTCTCTTGCAGTACAGTCGGAGTAGTCAAATGAAGATATGGGTGTCCACCAGATGTTGACCGCTAAGTTCCTCCCATATGACTGTACGAAATGCAGCCAGCGGTGCGGTAGGTAGAGACAGTCTCCCCGCTCGATTCGTGCTGACCACCATGGGATGGTACGCAGGCTTGGGTATTTGTACATGTCCACCCTTACATACGGTGAGAAAAGAGATTAAAGTTGAAGTCCTGCTTCAACAGACTACATGGCGATACAAATAACACCTAATGAAACCATTGAACAAAATGGGCATCAGGGCGACTAAAAATGCCTGATTTTGCCTTACAAAATGAGGCATGCAGGCCCTCATAAAGAAATACACAGAAGGGAAGTCTTTTTACCTATCGACATCGACTGAAAAGTCTTCAGTGCCATCCGTGTGGTGCAGCAGTGTGTGTCTCCCCACCTCGCTGTCCACCAGTAGCCAGTCTTTCCTCCCACTGTACATACAGATGATGTTCTCCATGTTGTCCATGTGGAAGGTGGACTTGGTCCCTCCGCTGGACATCCAGATTCTGATGTCGTGAAGGTGCCGGGTGAAACCACCGCAGGACAGGCACGGGGGGAGGTACACCTCTTCCATCATACCCTGGGTGTATGAATTTCAAGGCAAAGCAGTCATCATCAACTGAGGTGAAGCGTGATACTTTTACAAGTACATTTGTACATGGTGATAGTACAATATGGTTTTGCTAGAACTCACCTGTCACCCCTACTCTTAAGTGTGCTGGGTTCTTTTATATGCAGGAGTTTCACATCTGAGGATGATGTCAGAGGCTTCTTCTTAGCTGCCTTTACATCCCCAACCAAACTAACTACAGCCCCAACCTGCTGTGCCCAATAGAATGGTAGTTCCCAAACGCTTGTTGACTATCAAAATGCATGAAGGAGAACAAAAAGAATCTAGAAAGCAAAACCAAAGTCTTCTTAACACCTCCTTTAATAGACTTATAAAATTCATTTGTATTCTATATTTCAATGCTGTCAAAGTAGAGAGTATAGTGTGCTAAATTGTGTCAGCTTAGCTATGCAGAAAAATTCATTCTCACCTTTGGCAGTCGATCGAGCATGTACATCTCGGATTGGTTATACTGTTGCAAGAATTCATCCATACGCATGTCTTCCCTATAACTGTCGGCACGTTCCTTTTTAGAGGAATCAACCTCTGCCTGCGATAGTAGTAAATAGACAATTGAATATTTTCAGATGTCAACAAAATGCTGTTACTTTAATGGTGTACATTCAGATTAAACTTTATTTTGTAACTGCAATATTATTTTATTCTACATTTATATTTCGAGGATTGGGCAAAAAGTTATAAAACTTATCTCAGCCCTCTCCTCACACATAAAAGGAAACAATAAAACAAAGTAATAATAAGAAGAAGAACAAATGACAAAGGTACATAATGAGCTGGTGTACAAATCAAAATCAATCAACTAAATCAACTGCAATATTACTATCTTTGCATCATTTTTGTTCATTCAATATCAAAATGCAGTCAACCAACCTTAGAAAAACGTTGAAAATGTGAAGTTAAAAATTACCTCTTCATTCGCGTGTCGCTGGCCGAGGTACCGATCCGTCCATCTGTGGTAGGCGGGGGACAGTCGCGCCGCGCCCGACAACACCACCGGTCTGCCCGGCAGAGCGTAGCGCTGGTAGAAGTCCTCCGGGGACGGCAAGGTGTCCAGCGATTCAATCTTTTTGATTGGGAGAAAATGATAAAAATTGAGCTGATCCTTTTCTGTGTACGCCAGTCTATGGAAGTATTATCACATTTAATAATCTCAAACAATCTAGAAATACGATGTTATATTAAACTTGCAGGGCTTTGGCCAATTTTCAAAGCATGAACACTTAAACTCATAGTGACAACATATCATAAGTCTCCTCTAGAATCCTTTGCTTAATTGCAGAAAAATATATATGCCAAATGTTGCAAATATGTATTTAGTTTGTCTGTCTGTCATAAAGTTGCATAGAATATATCACGACAAACAACAAAATGGACAATTTTTTAAACAATCTAACACATCTTCTGTTTAAGATTCATTGCACTTGAACTCTACATGGGATATCGGACTTAGAACATGGAATGTAACAGTTATATCTACTGCTAACTTTCAAGATAAAGTTACCTCAAAACAATATACATATGTATATAGGCTTTAGCGTAGCTTATTACGCAGGGTAATCAGTATCAGCAAACTATCTTAGCCGTGGTGACTCTTAACTCGGGCTTACACTGCATTACCCTCAGCTTGCTACAAACTTTCGTACCTGGCCTGAGGGGGGTCGGTGCCGTCCAAGTGGCTGCAAGTGTCCCGGTGGATTCCTCGTCTTGCACGGCACAAAACACCATACCAAAAGTACAACAGTAACCACATGCAGCATGTCTGGATTATGTTTACAAATGTGGCCGGGGAAGGAGGAAGTTACACCGTGAGATCGCGGCCACCCGGAAGTTACACTCGAACAAATTCTGTACTGAGAAAAATGACTAAAACAGAAATATTGGTCTCAGTTGTTCCTCAATATACTCCAAATGACCGAGCAATTCGTGAAAACCAAACACTTTTGCCACATTTACGTCCAAGTAGGCAAAACAGATCTAGAAACACAGCTCTACACTTGGCCCTTGGAAAAGTTGTAACTGATTAACAGGTTGTTCCAGTGGTAACAGTTGCGCCCTCAAACGGCACACTATAGAACTGCACGACAAGTTTCGATCATATGTCAATGACAACACAAACTATCTCCGACTGAGAACCAGTTTTACGGTATTCAGTGATATCTTTCCTGGTAGGTTTTCGCGTTTAATTGTAGGGAAATTTTATTTTTACACCACCACCCCCCCTTTTTGTAGAAGGTTGGAACATTGCCAAAGTTCTGAAGTTCGTTTGCACAGTGTGGTAAAAGGTCAGAGAGCACAAAACAACGTTCTTTTTAGGATCTTGTTATACTGATGCTAAAAACATCATTACGACTTAAAAATTTCTGCAACTTCTTTTGAATACTTTTTGATTTCCTAAAATAACTAAGGATGTTACTTTTTTTGTTTGCCACCGCACCCGCCTACTACTAATACGCACCGAGCACTGCGTAGGCGTTTCGCTTCCTGTTCTCGGTTGGACATTATGACAAGGAAGTTTCACTTTTAAATCAGAGCATATCACACAACAGTCGGGCAGAACTTGTCTTCTTACGTTGTACGCTTGTGTCGTGAGAGTAACTTCACGGGAATACGTGTACGTGCTGCCGTGCTTTTTCACCGTCGGTCACTCTGTATACGGTTTAAAAATGGGAGAAACGTTTCCGTATTTCCGTCTGTGCTTTCTTACCCTTGCAGTGCTGTTTGTAACAGGCGGGCTGCCACGAACCATGGCCTATACTGGTATGTACATACATTTTCTACACCCTAAATATCTCCTAACATATGCTGCATTCTTACTCGTACTGAAAATCTTTATGATTGGGGTGAAATCGGAGAAGAAAAGTACACCAGGAAGTTGTATTTTTTCTTAATTATTGGTTCTATAAGAAAATGGCTGCAGAAAGATTTAAAAGAAAAATAGTATTAACTGTTGACAAGAAAAAAGGCGATGACATTTTCAAACGCATCCTATGATGATACTTTCTGACCTATTCTTGTGGTCGCACAGTTGCAGTGTTTAAATAGCGTGACTCCTATTGAGTTAACATTTCCTGTGGGTGCACGTGTACAAATACGTGCTCACAAACACGTACTATGTGTACAGAGTCGTCGATCCTATCTCTGAAACGCTGACTCACGTAGATTTAACTTAGTTGCAAGCAAAACGGAACTGCATTGGAGAAAATAGAACTTACGTTGCAAGACTAGCCACATGCGTTTCCGTTGAATAAACATGACTTGTACTTTCATTTCCGTGTTGGCTCGTACCTTCGCAATCTGTGGACAGCTGATACAATGGCACGTCATTGTACACATGTATTTCTTTTTTTTTCAGATTTTGACAGTAACGATCATCTCTGTGATGAGAATAAATAAACAAGTAGTTGCTAATCGTGTGCACATTTCTGTTTACGTTTATTGGCGTTTCGTTTGCAGACATATGAAATGCTACAGCATTGGGTTTCAGTTTATTTCAGCCAGTTGTACATGTGTCTTTTTAAGCTTGGGTTGATGGTCTTTTTTTGCCAGATAATCTCTGACCTGACTTCAGCTGAAAGCACCACGTAATAATAACACAGTTTCTTATTTTGTAATTGTATCAGTTGCAACATTACCAAACTATGTTGATCATTTTATGTGCATTCATATCTGGTATCTAATGTTTGCTTGATGGCTTTCTTAGGATGTCCATTAGTGTTACATACATGTCATCAAGTTTTTTAATATGTAATCACTTGTGCAATTCAGCCAACAATGCATATGGCTGCCAATCAATGTGAATAAACAATATCGTTAATTACTAGTATCTTTACCGAAAAAAAAATCAAATTTTGATACACTTCAGAACTAGAGTACAAATCGTGACCAAAATGCCATCTTCTCCACGCTGTGTTTTCTACCTTATTTCTAGGATGCCCAGTTGTACGACTGTCTGGGGAATACGACCATCAAAGTTATCGGATGACAACCTACAGGGTAACAAGTCAGACCATCGCAGACAGACCAGTGTACGAGAGTGAGACAGCAAACAACTTCTTGTACTACCTGGAGTTAGATAATGTGATTAATGGTTGGGTTGTCGGGTTCACACCTGGAGGAAGGAACTACAGGCTTGTGGCACTTGACAGTGCAACATTTCCCGAACTAATCAGTCCAGGAACATTTCAAGTATTTTCGGTTTCACACCAAGGCTTTGTTTTGGCTCCAAATCTACGTGTCTCCTGTTCAGGTATGGGCTTCTCTTTTTACATAAGTAATCTTAACCAAAGTAGGTGCGTGTAAAGTGGATAATTTGTATTCAATTTTATTTGATTCACAACTATGTATACGAACTCATCTTCATGGCCCCCAAAAGTTGTTAATCATTGTTATTTCCCCTACATTTCACGAGCAATACATAACCTGGCCATATGATATGATATGATATGATATGATATGATATGATATGATATGATATATGATATGACATGACATGGAGCCTGTGACATGATATGATTCGATGATATATGATATGATATATATGATATGACATGGTGTAGCATGACCTGCTATGATATTAACTTACACATTCTAATATTCCTGAATATCTACAGTTCCCGGATATATCGGGTGCTTCTGGTACTCGTCTGTATCTGGTAGACAGTTGCAGTGGACAGGTAGCTACATAACCATAGACAACTGTAAGCTGAGCTGCAGAGCTGGAAACTTCCCATACACAGCACTTTTTGGACGGGAATGCTGGTGTGCAACTCAGATAGCATCAGACGCTACAAGAGCAACAGGGGGCCTCTGTGATAGGCCATGTGCAGGGAATCCCTCGCAGTTTTGTGGACGAAGAGACAATCGGCTGTATATAGAAGTTTATGAAAGTAAGTACGAATGTATCAGCCCCAATTCGGCGATGCTTTTGAACTCACATTCAGAAAATCCCCGAGTTACTAAAATAAGCAGGCTTTTATCTTTTATATATTCGAACCATGACAATCTTTTTTTATTCATATTTTCATGCGAAAGCTTTTTGCATACAAGCGTACTTAGCTTAGCAGCTAAATGCTCGCATTTGCAACTTTAATATATAGAGCGAAGATTATTTTAATTTATTCAACTGTTTGTTTCAGCTATCACCGACTGTGGCCCCGTGCCCGTGACTCCAGGCGTGATCTCTGTACGTCCTTCTGACGGAGCTAATGTGACAGTTGGACATACAGCAGAAGTGAACTGTTGGACTGGCGTCACAGTAACCCTACAGTGTCTTCAAAACGGCAGTTTCAACTCTTCAGGCCCTTTCTGTCCAGGTTTGTACGGTGCCCCCTATTCAAAATACAATTCAATCTAGCTTCCATAGCATGCCAGAAACTGGGGGTTTGGGGGGTCTTCATCTTCTTCTTTGGGGGCTTTTATGTGCTATTTTCTGATTTCTGACAACATAGCCGGCCAGGTTGAATTACCCCCGTTAGAACTGGGCTAATCATAAAACAGCCGAAGACCACCAAACCCCCAGTTCTATAAGCCTGCTACGGAGGCTAACTCAATCAAAGTTTTAACATTTTGTCTGAGATATATGTTTTCTTGTTAGTAACACCTGGAATGATGGCTGAGATATAACTCACTTGTTAGAGCACACTTATTGATAAAGACTGGCTGGTTATTTTCATCTGCAGAGCTATAGATCTAGAATGATAAAGATGTCTTGAAAGTAGTAGGTCAATCGCACCCGTAGCTGTACCTTTCTGGGTGCTTTTAAGAAACGGTACGGATAACAAACATACTCAGCTATAGTTAGTTTACAAGGAAAGAGAGAGGGAAACAAGAATAAATATGTCACGTTATATGGCTGTTATATACAAACGTCAAGGTAGTTGCTAACAAATTTGAATAGTGCAACTGGTCGTCCACTTTAGATATCGACCAATTATTATTTTTTTCCTTTCAAGAACCAACGACAGCCATCATGGAGACATCAGTCGGCTCAACAACGGACTCAGACCCTCACGTTGGCGACCGCTCAGGTATGAGCTATACCTGTAGCTTATTTGTTAACTTTGCCACATAACGATTTCTGTTCACTTTGCATGCAAGGCACAATCTAGGAGCAGACGCTTGTAACATTTTATGGAGACTTTCTTTCATAGGGGTTGGCTATGGATATGCCTGCTTGCTTCTATACGGAAATGTGACCACCGCCATAGAGAAAATGTAAAGTCGTAGCAAATACGTACCTGCTGTGACAGATGCATGCACTTGAACATTCCTGCAAGTAACTAGGGGCTGAAACTAATCTACTGATTGTCATCAAGTTTTTCTATTCTATATGTAAAATCATACATGTGTCCTATAGGCAACGATGATTAGAAAGCTATTAGTAAGATCATGACATTAAATTTGTTTTAACACATTTTGCAGGTGACATGTCCACAAATATCATCCCCATTGTCGGAGGTCTAGTCGCGGGTGTGGTTTTTATCGTGATCGTTGCAGTTGCCGCTTTCTTCCATGTCAGAAAAAGGTACTAGTTTCATTTTAGTTTCAATAGGTAACAGTATAGTGTGTATGTAGTAGTCCAAACGATGCGTTAATTCTATGTCGATAATTTACATGAAACCGATATTTGTTTATTCATCTATGAATCTCTAGGGTGGTTCCTTCGGTTATATATCAATCAATCAAACTTTATTGCACAACAGTTGTCACAGGTACAATGTATGGCAAGTTCTTCTGAGGTACAACATATCAAACTGATATCTACTCTACTAGTATCTATAGCGGAGCTCTTATTAAAAAGCACTTGTGCTCGCGCATTGTACAGATGAGTTGAAATCAGGGCAATATTTCCTCTGTCTGTTGTATTACATTATACTTCTTTTCTTTTGCTCCTTTCTTATCTAGAAATGCAGGCTTGGCTCAAGAGACCCCAGCTTCCTCCCATGGGAGGACAAATATGGACACCAGCACCTATTATGAGCCTGTCATTACCAGTGATGTGGTTCTAACGCACACTGGAGCCCAGTACCTCCCCAACACTACCGATCACACAAGGGCTCCTACAAACGCCGAACCACACTATTCCACCATTCCCGAGTACTCCTCTATCGACGAAATGGACAGAAAAGGCGCAGTGACAACAGAAACAAAGAACAACAACCTGGACCAGCTCTACAGCAAACCTGTCAAGAAAGCGAAGAACAAGAGCGAAGAAGGCATGGTGGACAACGTTTTGTACGTCAGGTCTGATGACGTCACTGATGGAGGAGGAGCCATGGACTCTAACAGTCGTTACGTGGACAATGATCTGTATGGCTGAACAACTGATATGAACATCAGGTCTTTCCATAAAAACTGTGCACGAACTTGGGAAATCATTGCTTTGAAACGCTTTTACCTACATGCTTACTTCATTTCACAACAACAATGTGGAAAACTTTATTGTACAACAGTTGTAACAGGTACAATGTATGGCAAGGTCTTCAGAGGTACAGTACTACGAATCAAGATAATCTACCTTAACGTCTACAGTAATGCTTATAAGTTGTATGTATCAAGACTAACACTACATGTATATGCTATTTCATATAGATGATACAATATTATTACAGGGCTGTATCGTTGTTTCTTCTGGATATGGAAGTTTGAATGGCTGAGCTGTCATTTATCTATACTTGATGTCGTTTGCGCTTTTTTTTAGCCCCAGGCCTTGGATGTTACACCCCTTACGAATTCAGAAATTTAATGCACACCTATACTCTTCAAAACTAGACCACCAGTACTGGATATAAGACTTACATGGCTTTTATACACTTCCGCTGTTCGCCTCCCGTGACAGGCACATGTATATATTTCTTTGAAAAAATACATTGTCACTTATCATCACGAGTCACGTCCCTCAATTCTCAGAAATTACTGAGCGTTTTACAGACCATACCCAAATATGACAATGGTTAGTCGGAAATGACCAGTCGGGCGTGGATCTTACCGGAAACATTTCTTGGGTGGACAGAGCAGAACAAGGTGACCTGAAATATTGTATAAGGACTACAATCTTAGACAATATCGAGGAATTAAGCTGAAATACACATACGAGGGGCTGGTCAAATTAGGTCAGTTTACCGTACTGGTCCAGGGCGATACCACCAGACCAAATAAACAGAGTGAGTCTTCGTAGTCTTCGTGACTGAACCATTGGAGTGTAAACAATAACGAGGGTTAAAGTTCATAGGCAGTTTTTCAACAGTCAGTAGTATCGTACTCTTACACTGTACAGACACCCGTGCTCTTCTTGTGTTCAACGTTAACCCGACGGACTCCTAGGACTAGTTATGTACGTATTAACCGACAAAGAACCACCTACAACGACACCTGCTGTTCAACACTTGATAGAACGTTGAGATTTGACGACGTCGCTTTCCCAACAGATTGTTTGGAATCATGGCAGGCTGTTCGGCAAAGTGTACCGCCATAGTGGTGTCCTGCGTCGTTTGCTACGTCCTGGTGTCCATCCCGCTAGCCCTCGGGATCCTGGGCGTTTTGGAGCCGAGGCGACAGGGCTTCTTCTGCGGGGATGAGAGCATTTCCCTCCCGTATGCCGGGGACACAGTCTCGCTGGGTGCAATGGTGGGCGTGGCGCTAGGCGGCGCTGTTCTCGTCGGTCTCGCCGAAGGTGTCTTTGCAAAGGTACGATCAAGTCCTTGCTAAGGTTTAATATCAATATTAATATCAATGTGTTAAACGTTTCTTCATACAGTAGTCCTCGTATGATGAGTAGCTGGGAATTGGGAAATGGTGCTTTTTCTGTTATTGTTTTTTTTTTTAACCTTCAATGTACTACAAGGGATGATGGGGCTGTCCAAGGACGTTTTGACAGCTACAAAAACTAATGCCTATATATGTTGAATAAATGCTACGCAAACTACCGTAATGCTATACAATCAAATCCAATCCAAAACGTTTCCTTTATCACCAACATTATTCTATTTGACTATATCTTTTCAATTGCTTTTTACAGACTAGGGGTCTGAAGCCACCTGCAATTTTTGTGAACAGTTTGATCTGTGCTGGGATGCTGCTGTTTATCATGGCAGCGGCAGGCTCGGCAGTGTACGGCGCGAAGTTGTCCATGGGGGTGCTTCGTCCGCACTTCCTGGCAGTGTGTAAGGTAACGCAGACTGCGAGTATTCGTGTCAACTGTTGTTCGTTTGTGTTACTATGTTATGGTATGGAAGACATAAATAATTGGTATATAATTCCAAAATAAAACCATTTTAAAGGTCTGTTTTTAAAAAAAAACGTCCGGGGGTATTTTTCTACCTCCGTACTATTATGTTAGTACATTTGGCCCGAAGATTAGAATCTAAATGAAAAAAATTAGTCCCAAAATCAAAATTTGAATGAAGAAATTGAATCTATTAAATGGAATGACTGTAAGAGGAGAAACATGTCTACATGAGAGAGAAAAATATATATTTCATCCATACCTATGGTATGCAGTGAACTACAATTCATCCGAAAGGCAATACAGTGATTCCAAATATTAGAAGAAAAGTTAAGATTCTGGTAAATCTTTTTTTCAACTTTTCCGCAGGTCAACGTCACGTTCACCTGCACACCTGGTACCTACGTCACAGAAGACGTGTGCACAGGTGATGCCGACGTCATCAGAGAGGCCCGGTCGTCCTTTCCATCCGGACATGCCGGAATAGCCGGCTGCCTGGCCGCTTACGTCGTGTTATACCTGCAACATCGTGTCCGGAACAAGAGCTGGGTTTTACCGAGGGTGGCGGTGCAAATCGGGTTAGTCTTGGGAGGTCTGTACGTTCTGGGCAGTAGGGTGGCCGATCACCAGCATCACCTGGCGGACGTGATCGGAGGTGCAGTTGTGGGAGCTGCGTTCGGTGCGGCTGGGATGTGTGTGACCAAAGAACTCACCAAAGCAACTGGTAAGAGAGGAGACACTGGCGTTCGCTTTGCAAGAGAACAGGAGACTGCAGATGAACTATTAGAGATTTCCAAGATGTAATCTTAATATCCTAATGTCAATCAGTATATAATAACATGTGTACAGTATTTGGATATCTGGCATGAGAAAAGCATGTAATGATATACCCTTATAATGTTCTAACCAAGAAAAACACAGAAGACACTTTTTCATTGTTAATATTGACCTTTACTTTTGATGCAGAGTAACTTGCTCTATCTACAAGTGCGTTTAGTCCATGAGAGATGTTGGTTTTAGATCCATTGATTTATCAAATGACGAAGAGACCAAGATATTACAATCAATCATTTCACAATTTGGATCTGAGAAAAAAGCTAGTCCCAAAGTTGGCAACAACCGACATTTCTTCAGAAATATACATATTGGCATTGTTTGCTTGTAGCATTTTCTAACACATTTACTCATGCATTTGTAATATCTTTTCATCACACTACATTAGTACAAGCAAATCAATTGTGAAAGCAGAAATAAGCATGACTATATTTGCCTACCACCTACACAAAAATTGGAGAAGTACATTTTTATGTAACATTCCCAGATGATACAGAAAATGCATAATAACATAATATTTTCTATAATAATAATGCGGCTCATTCACTTCTATGGATATTTGCACAGGTATATACTTGCAACAGGTAAAAATTATCCTCTTTTCGAGTATAGAATGTAGTTGAAATATTGGTTATCACAAACCTGTCACCTGTTATAAATACTACCGCCTTGTTACATACATACCCATTATACTTATACATTAGTCTCCTATTCACTCCTACTCATCATATCTAGGTGGTATAAGCTAACTGATAAATGTGTTATACCACACATGTTGATAATGTAGATATGTTTGTCATCTTTTTATACTTGGACCTTAGAGTTAGACTATAACCAAACCAAGTTTGTGAGCTACACAATACAATCAAGCATTATCACCTATTGTTCTTACTAAAGCATGATTTGCAAAAACTTATACATGTACCTTCCTCATAGGACCATTTTGATAATCAAATTATCAGTATTGTCAAGCAAGCCATCACATCATTTTCAAAGGTGTTATCACCCTAAGTTATTTCATAACTTTAAACCAATTATTTGAATCAAACAAAGGACAACATGGAGTTGCAAGCCATTTCAATGAACTTGTACTTGTTGACCAGTTCAAAAGTGCTCACAAACATGAAAGGAATGATCATGTATAGAGAACAAAGGGTATATCAGTAACAAAACTAAGTATTTCTAATTTAAAGCTGGTCCATTATGCTCCATTCTTCCTTTACCCTCGACATGTGTTCTCACATACACTGTACTATTGGTCAGATATAGGTGTGTGAGTCATGCATATCCAATCATTGATTCCAATATATCATGCTCTTCCAGGCTCTCAAGTCATACCTACCTAAAAAAATTTTTAGTTACCGTAATGTGATTGATGTTGTAACATAAGCACCAGATTGGAGAGTTGTGATAATGTCAACTAAAATCTGAAGTTAGCAGTCTAAAGCAGGTAAGATGGCACCATTGGGTACTATATGTAGTACGTTTGTAATTTAAACTGAACCAAAGAACAAAATTTCCTAATCTCCTAGCAGATGTTGAAGTGGACAATTGTAAGAATTCCTAACATTCGAGGTTCTTTGACAATCATTGGAGTGGTCCTGGCCTGACAAACATTACACTCCTGGCACCCACCAAACTAACTGGGACCTTATACATGTAGCCCTTGACAGCAAGAGACTGTACACTGGCTAGGGTGGCCCTTGCAGTGAGTGACTGTCAAAAAACATTACAATCTACCACCCCAACATCTGCTTGGAGATTACAATAACCTTCTGCTGACAGTTCTAAATCAGAAGGAAACTCTGCTACAATTTTTTTAGCCTTGCACTTAGTACACATAAGTAATATGTACCACAGCCATAACTTTTTATTAATTCTATTCTGGATCCTTTTGGCCCTTGTTAATTTTTTTTTCCTCTCAATTACTCTTGACTAAACACTTTCCAGTTATAATCAGGACAGCTTCCGTTTACTTTTATTGCATCTTCAGGTGTCGTGTTCAACACCTAGCCGGTAACCATGGTAACAGGGAGGCATCACCTCCCTTGTTGTGGTGGTTACTATGGCAACGTTGGCCCCGCCCTACTTCCTGGGTTGGTTGATGGGCATGTTTTGTTTGGGTGGTGGTCGCTTGTCTACGGTCGGCTGGGGTTTCTCATGGGCAACTTTAGCCGCCTGGGGGGAGAAATCCTTGTCGCCCTGGGAAAAACAAGAACATTTTGTCAAGCATGTATCTAAAATAACCAGCACTTGTCAACTGGAAAAAGGAGTAGTCTGGAGGACACTTAAGGGTGGCAACATTTTACAAGGTGACACCAGAAATGCACCTACAGGAAAACTATTACTATCATTACATGTAAGGGAAGTACCTTGCAAATGGCTTTCTACACAGTTTTAACAATGCAGGGCTCAAATTAGAACATGGATTTTGCAAGCTACTAGTGTAGTCAGAGTTGTGCAAATATTTCTGATGTCTACCCGTGTCTAACCTGCACTGGTTCATGATAAACTCATAACGCCAGCTTCAACACAAGGGTGACATGCAGCAATAGTAGCTCCAAATGCCTGTATTATTCAATGTACATCATGTAGAAATACCAATACATTGGTACATGTAGTAGACTACAAGATTCAAAATAATACCAGTAGGAACATCTTGAAACCAATGTAACGCTTTCTTTCCATGTAAAATGGCTTTGACTTTGTGCAAGGAAAGGGGAACTTGACACCACAGATGGAGCGGCATTAATATTCCAGTCACAGTTCCTGCAGGGGGTAAACATTGAACTGACATCTCCTACAAACCTTACCTTTGTTACAGCACCAGACACTATAACACGGGTATCATTCTTAGGTGGGCTGTGAACACATAAAAACAGTCAAGTCAGTTGTGATAGTATGGCAGCTATAAAGTTTTAAAGGTAGATCTTAAGAATGAGAAAAATGAAAAAAAAAGCTATGACATACATGTAGTTTTTATCTTTTATTCCTTTTGACCTCCTATGTTCTGAAGTCAATGGTACATGTGTTGTAATACACTTTCAATAAACCATCTATTATTATTATTATTATGTACTTTTTACTAGTATACTGTTATACTCACTGAATGTCTGACTAAAATTACATCGAATTTTGTAGCTTTACATTTTCAAAAATTGCATTTATTCTGGTGCAGATGTTTTATATGGTATTATTATTTCCAAGTTGAAGCACTTAAAGATACTCACGGTTCTTCAGGAAACTCCTCATCCTCCTCTTTCTTGTCTGGTTTCTTCTCTTCCTTGGTATCACTAGTGTGGCGGGTTCGGGCAACTCGCATCCCTCCTGCCTTCACTGTGGACAACACAGTCAAATGTAGATGCAAGATTACTATAGATCACTCTATATTCGCAGTTTTCATAACACAAATTTATCATTTACCGCAGACAAATAATTCGCCGACTTTCTCTCTTCTGCACCTGCCGCCACTGAGAGTATATATTTCTGCCAACACAAGAATTTTTCTCAGACTGCGAAATTTTGCTACCACGAATATAAAGTGATTCACAGTATTTAAAAATTGGAGCAAACTGAACTGAGGAAGAGCTGCTACATCAAGAGTTTCTTAGCAAAGACTTCTTGAAATAATTTCTTGCTGACAGCGAATCAGATGTATTATGCGGCTTCCGGTACTAACTGTTCAAAACTGGTGTGTTATGCTTAATGGTTCATCGGTTCTACGAGACAAATAGAACAACTGTTACATTACTCAATAGTTTTTAGCTTTCTTTCAATACATATACATATACATGTAGTTTCACTCTAGCTGCTCAGCATTTGAAAATACAAACTCTTCCTTTCTCTCAGGGAGCCTGTCTCAGGATAATGCGATTGTTAAGTATTTTTCTAGAAAAACTGAACCTGTTCTAATCTCTAGAGAAACATTGAGAGTAAAAGTAGGGCTAAACACAAGAGTTAGGCAGCAGGATGTGTTTTGAGGGTGTACAACATGTTCTTTGTTTGTGAAGTACTCTAGATCCAAATCTGACCCCCTTTCCTGACACATTATACACTTCCTATTCCCTTCCACAGTTAACTGCAAGGACACAGCATTATTCTGTGCACTTATTCAGTGGTTTATTTTATAGGAACCGACTACGTAGGTGTCTGTCACCATGTATAACCCTTTATGATAATGTTAGTATTATTGTTACACCTCGTTTAAAAATACTGGTCTTTTGTCTGTGATAAAGAATTAAATCTTGATGAGTTTTTTTTTTTCAGTACTGGAAGCAACAAAAGGATAAATTCAGGTCAAATTTCATGGTTCCTTCTTTAGAAACATAGGGTCAAACTAAGGTCTCTGTAGTCGTAAATATTTTATGAGGCCATTTCTATACTTATATAATGGGATTAGTATCAACTTACATGGAGGCATATCATGTGACAATAGGAACAACATAGCAACACACAATCCTAACACTAAACAGTGTTGAAGGCTTTACTTCAATTAGCAAGGGATTTAACAACTACAAGTAGCTTGTGACACCTTTCAATGCGCATGGATTGGAAACGAGGGATGTGGCAAGGGAGATTTTGTGATGTGTCCTTGGTCCCTGAAACTAGTTCTAATGACAGGATCAAACAAATAAAAAGCATCTAACAGCCCGAACCTAACATAAGGTGCAAATGTGTATTTAAGGCTCTACCAAGTTCAAACCGTTATTCAGTGTTATACATGTTGCCCATTTTAAAACACCCTTCCGTATCCTCAAGAATGCAAATAAATTAACCTGTATCTTTGTTCAAATCTCGTGCACAACTGTAGTTCACTGGTATCTTTAATAGAAACAATCGTTCTTACATTTTCAAACACTTAAGGACTGATAAAAAAATCTAATTGGGAAAAAATATTGATGGGGTGAAAAGTGGCAACCAAGTTTGCCTGCCCTACTTCTTAATAAATCACCAATGTGGGTTTTAAAAATGTATCCTGCACAAAGCACACATTCAGCAGTTTTAAACAAACGCGCAAAATCCAACCAAAAAACGCGATTTGACGGAAAGTTTTTGGTTTCTTACCTGCAGGAGGATGGCCTCCTTTTAGCTCTGCTTCTTGAACAGATGACATTCGTTAAAATTGGGAAAACTGGAGCAGAAAATGTCAAAACGGTGGACACGTTGTCAGCCAGATGTGTTCAGATCTGCACCTAAGTGGGCTGTTTGAAACTGGATTATACCATTATCAGGTAAATACGTAAAAAAATTATCTTTATTACAACATACATAGATCAACACCGACGAATATTTGTTCCCACTATGCCAAGGTTACGTTAAACATAATCATAAGTAACTCTTTATTTAATATAGAAATTACAGTTAAGTTTCTATTTTTGACTTAGTTATAACATATCTGTTTCGTATTCCCCCTACATAAAAGTTGTCACGTCCAAAGTGGGCAGGTACAAAGTTCAACCCATGTAAACAAGTGACGTCAACACGCTAGCACCCCACTGAGAATGAAAAACAGGAAGCTAGGCGTGTGCGTCAGCGTCTGTTGAGTCCCAAATATTCATTTTAATCTTTCTTATTTCCCGTTTCAATAGTTTTTCAATGAAGTATGCGCTAAAAGTCGATCAAGTTGCGCTAGGCCACGCTTATGCAAATTAGAACGCATGCTGATGACGTTTTGTGCAAAGAAAACTGACGTCATCACTTTTGGGGCATCATGGCGTTTTCGGCTGAAATTTTCAAGGATTTCGTCTGAATTTAGCCAAATAACAACTAGGAAGCCCTTGTGGAGCATTAGTGTGGTTTACAACAACGCCAGGAATTCATAGGAAGAAACATGGGAGGTGGAGACTTGGTAAGCCGCTAGAATTTACTAGATACGTGTTGAGTTTCCTTACCGATTAAAAAGTAAAACATCGCGTTACGTTTTGCGTCCATCATAAAAGGTACAAAACTAAGTCTACAGTTTTTTACATGGTTTATCTCTATTTCTATGTAGTACTGGTCAAAAACCCCTCACTGGGGCATTACGACCAGGGTGCTGGGTGCACGGCTAAGTGCGGCCGGTGGGGTGATGGTGCTGAAAAGAACAACATGAAAACAACAGAGGGCAAAAACCGAAAAATATTATATAATTTGTGCTTATAACTACATGGCCGCACTTGAAGTCCTGATTACATCTGTGGGCAGGGATGGCCCATGTTATCGCAAATTATGTTCTAAAATCTGACACCGACGTGTGCCTATTTGCTCCCATGACAGAACCTGAAGAAGAGCTGGCACCCTCAGACCCTGCGAAACATCGAGCGAGTCTGGAAGGCCGAACAAAAGCACGAAGATGAGCGCCGTAAGATCGAGCAACTCCAGAACGAACTCAGGGAGGAGAAAGCTCGGGAGGACATGCAACTGTTCGCTGAAGAACAGGGAGCCGTTAGGTAGGATTTTCTTCTATTCTACATGGATTAGAAGTTCTTTGTGAACAGAAGAGGTGTCTTAATTCCATAATATGTACAAAATTTAGGTCTTATAAATCATACAAGCAACGACATTTTATTAAGTTTTTGAGCAAGTCTTGATCCAATTTGTGTATACAGCCTTGTTTTCTTTTGTTATCCTCTTATTCAATGGCACTGGCATCTTTTATGTAGCCAGGACTGATACTGTTGCTACTACCATGGTTGGTAGCAACTAATACTATCAGAGCAAACATAAACTGACCAGGAATATGGCAGGATGGTAGCCTATCTTTTATCGGTAGTAGATGAGGAGATCAGGACAAATTTCATGAGTTTCTGTCTGTCAGTTGAATCATTCTCCATCTATCATTTTTGTAGAATGGTACACTGTGGCGTACTGCATGGTGTTACATACCACTGATACCAGTATCTCATCATAATATATCACCGCTTACTTGTGATGCAGTCTAATGTTGTGTTTAACTCCTGTAGGAAGAAAGATGACCGTTTGAACTGGATGTACCAGGGCCAGCCTGAAGTGAACCGTGATGACTACCTTCTGGGGAAGCCCATCGACAAGGCCATTCAGGAGGCCACCGCGGGGAAGTCTGAGGACTCTGGGCTGGCCGATAACGTGCCCGGCGCAACCTTCAGCCAATCAAACGTCAACTCAGCTGTGGACATGGCAGCCAAGATTCGCGAAGACCCACTCTTTGCTATCAAGTGAGTGATAGTTGTCTTGTTGTCTTGTCATCTTTTCTTTCTTTACAGCAAAAGTGTTTAGGACTTTGTACTCTATCTTTCAAAGGAGTTCTGTTGAGTAGATATTCCTAGTAAACAATGTACATCTTAAAATCTCAAGATTTCCATCGCCAAAAGCATTGACATAAGTGCATGCTGAATTCCTTTTGTACATGTGTATGTTTGTTGTACCAGTTAGTAAATGTAAGCATTTCTGGATTACTCTCTAAAGCCAAATGTGATTGTGATATGAGTGGACAAATAAGGGTAGAAAGAAGTTTTATCTAACGAGAGTTATGTTCATTTATCTGAAAAAATTTGCTTTGCAGACAACGTGAGCAGCAAAGCAAGAAGGATCTCCTGAACAATCCTGTCAAGATGAAGCAGCTCCAACAAATGGTAAGTTTGTAGCTGTATTTATTTATTTATTTATTACAATTCACATGTACATGGAAGGCATGGTGGAACAGGTGGACCTAAGTACACCTTTTCAAGGCCACCATGCCAAAAATGGTATGTATGTACATGGTATACAAATGCCAGCAATGGTTCAGCAGTGCACTATAGGACACTATTAGTCTGCGATGGACTGCTGTTCTCAAATTGTGAAATGACTTCCTTTGGTGTTTGTGTAGCTGAAAGTGACTTTGGACAAGAAGGACAAGAAAAAGAAGAAGAAAGACAAGAAGAAGAAGCACAAGAAGCATAAGCGGTCCAGCAGCAGTGACAGTGATGAGGGGGCGGGGAGGGGCGTCAACGGACATGCCGCCAGCAAGGCACACAGGTCAAGGTCACGGAGCAGGTCACCACCAGCTGCAAAGGTCAAACACAGGTCAAAGGTCAGGAGGTCAAGAAGTCTTTCCCAGTCTCCTCAGAGGTCAGGTAACAGACACAAGGCCAGTTTTGAGTCTTATAAAGAGCGAAGGAGGTCTCGGACTCCCTCCCCCTCAAGGTCAAGGGTGAGGAGAAGGTCAAGGACACCATCTCCAAGGTCAAAAGTCAGTAGACACAGGAAGAGCGAAAGCAGGTCTCCAAATAAAGCCAGACGGTATCAGTCTAGGTCACCAGTGAGGTCAAGGTCACCTGTGAGAAGAAAGTCAAGGTCACCCATCAGGAAGAAGTCACAATCACCAGTAAGGAGATCTCCTCGAAGGAAGAGATCCACGTCAAGAAGTGTTTCACCTCCAAGAAGAAACGGACCCCCAGTCAAGAAAGGAGGGACTGCCAAGAGGTATGGATCCTGTCTTTATATGTAGTAACTTATAAGCTGCAGTTCTTTACATGTAAAAAGTGACTAAGTTATTAGAGTGTGGTTTGATTTAGATTGAACATGATATCATTTGTTGGCAACAAACCAGCTGCCTATGACACAGAAAATGTCTTGATATTATTTTGTTTTCTATTGGTCATGCAGGAAGCTTGATCCAGAAGAACTGGAGCGGCGCCGTCGGGAAATGATGCAGGATGCCAAGACACGAGACGATGAACGGTCACAGCGCGTACAGAAGTACAAGGAGGAAGCAGCGAAGGAGAGAGAAGAGGACGACAAATTCCGGGGGAAAGAGAGAGCATTCCAGTAAGTTAGGCCATTGATAGCGTTTGAAGTAGACAATTTTAAGGTCTAAACATTCCAGAGAAAAAATAGTACTAGTATTGTATCCCTTTTTTTTCATGTTGAACATATACATAAATGTGCTCATAACCACATTGTATTTATACACTATCATGTAAGAACGAGTTATCACTTCAGAAAAATAAGGATGTACATATATACTGGAATACATAATGAGGTGAAGAAGACATGTAGTTCTTAATGTAATATACATGTAGTTGCCATTTGCATAGTACTAATGATATACACCACTTCTCTTGTTACTACAGTGGATTGCTCACACATACTGCGGCTACAGTTGAGGACAGAATCAAGAGGAAGGTCCACTCACTGCAGAGAACTGAAGCTTCCAAGGAAAAGTTCTTCAACAGATGAAAACTTCTTGTTCTTACCTCAATACATCATAAAAACCCTTGTATAATATTGGGACCAGGCAAATTGACACATTTTTCAGTAACCATTGGAATTATCTACTTTTTATGTCATACCATAAGACCATGTCCATGTGTATAATGTGCTACTACTGAAAACTTCTTTGATTTAACAATTGCTCACTGTAGCTCTGCATATTTTTTATCTGCTGTAAAAGAACATGCATGTACATACATGAAAGATATGTTTCAACAGGCGTAAGTGTAACTGTGTGATCATTTTCCCATAATTTGTAATTACATGTTTACTATAAGAATGGAAATGGTGGTTGTACAGAATAGGTCAATTAACTTCACATTGAAAAGTGCAGAAGACACAACCTTTCTATTTACTTTTTAAAGCACATTTGTTTGATTATTGTTTGTCTTATATACCTTTTGTAAATATTTTTGATCAATGTTTTTTTTAGGCACAAACATTTTGTAATCATGATGATCTGACATATTGTAGGCACAGATTTTCCATCTTTTTATTGTATGTCAGTATGACCTTACTCTAGGTGTTGTGTGCTTTCATGCAGATAAAGTACACTCCGTAAACAAACCCCACTTCACTGAATCAGTGTCAAACTATTGACTGCTTTTACCTAGTAACGTTATTATTACTGAACTGGTAGCTTTCTTTCTGAAAAACTGTAACTATTGGGGCCTAATATAGTAGAGCGCGATGTGGCTCCATCTATTTAATCACCGTGATAGTATGAAAGCGTCTACGAACGAAGATGGACATGCGAAAATGATGGTGGCAGCCATGTTCAATGTTGATACTGCAGTTTGTAACTGAACCGCTGGAGGCCGCTACTGACTGGTCTCCGTGTGGTGGTTCAACGTTAGCCTGGTTACCAAACCTATTATAGCTCCCGAGTCCTACATCCTCTCCGCAAAGCCTCGGGGCCAGTGTTGGACTCGCCCGCGCCAAGTCCCGTAGCTTCCCCCCTCCCCTCCCGTGGTTGTTGCTCGTTGATTTCAGTCTTAGCCTGACATTCTTCAACCCTTTACCAATCCTAGTAAGCATAGGACTTTTCTGGCAGCCAATATTTCCAACCGGTCTATGAAACCAACCCCGTAGAAATTCCACCGCTGTACAGCAATGTGCCTGGGCGGGAAGGCAACGCTCCCAGCACCGTAAACATACCGGGGAGCTCCCGATGGATGGTTACTAGGCTAGCAGTCTTATGGCTAGTCCTTTGTGTATTTTGAGAATCATAGGAACCCAAACGCACGGACAGGCAGGGCAAAGCTTATACTACACCCCCTTAAAGTGAAGAAAAATAGGCAAACTCTCAAATGATCAAATTATTGTACAAATGTAGTAGATTGGTTTATTCATGTACTAGTAAGGTTAAATATAAACCTCCTTGATTCATGCAATCACAATTGAAAGTCTTGGCAGCCTTCTAAGCCTTAGAGCTGAATTGTAGACTTCTTACATCTTAATTTAACTTTAAACTTTTAGAATGTTTAACCTCAGACTATCGATTAAAAAAACATAACGTTAATACAGTTAATCAACGGCACAGTTAATTGAGTTACTAGTACTAGTATTGGATGCCTGTATTGACATTAACATTACTACTGAAAACTGTTTATTATCATTTTGCTATAAATGTTACAACAATAGGAAAAGTAACATCATGAAGTAACGTTACATGTAATTTCCACCTTCCTATCTTCAATGAAAACATGGAGGTAGGAGGTTCTAGCATTTTCTCTCTTCTAAGACTAAAGGTAGCCTGGGTACCATCCTATTTGTATGCGGGGGCTCCCATAGTCCCCCCTATTAGAAATATTTCTTAGAGGGGAGTATGGGAGCCACGGCACAAATAGGATGTCCAGGCTATTCTAAAGGTTGACTATTGCTACATATCTAAACACAGGGCTTGAAATTGGTGCACCCAACCTAAAAAATTAGGTGCACAAAAAATGTTTTGGGTGGACCATATAAAACAATAATGACACCTAGTGAGGAGACTGATAATTGCAGGGCGTGTGACGTCACAGAAACTAGATCCTTGCCTTGTAAGCCCCCTGACAGCTCTATTGTGTCTGGTATGTGCGTGCGCTCAGGTGTCCCCACAAGGAAGTGGGGTTGGAAAAAACAAGACACTGCTGATCGTCAACCGCATCTAGTAAAATGTTGTTTTACGCCGGACCTGTGCTTTTGCTGCTCGTTCTGGGAGGTTCTACAGTCGGTAAGAAGTTTATATTTCACTTTAGTACATCAGAAGGGTGGCCTAGTCGTGAACTCTTGACTTGTTTTTGTACCGCTTTGCCGATGTTGTTGTTAGAGGAAGTGTCAGACTGCTAGGCAAATATGTCTGCCTTCCTTATCAGTATGTGCATACAGGTGAATGACCCCATATGTTGACAGAAAGCGGTCCTTCTAAATGTCTAGATTTTTGCCAAGAACACCCATGTCCTACATTTGGTAACAGAAGTTGTGTAAGTTGACCTCCCGTTTACTAGACAGTATTTTACCTGGTTTACCAAATGTTATACAGACCTTGCCTCGAGCAAGAAAACTCCAAATGTAATTATGCAGTGCGTAGGAAGTGACTGGATATTGACAATACAGTTTGACAATCACAAAATAAACATAGTAATCTTTGTACGATCTTTGTTCTGTCAATAATAATGCGATCGTGTAAATGCTATACAAATGGCGTTTCTGTTTTGTGAATGAGGACTGTTATCATTGTCAAATCCAGCCCCCATAGTCACTCTGCTGTCGCTTGAAAAACAACCAGCCAAAGACCGTGCCAACAAGGAAGTTAGAGACCTTCTGATATTAGAAGTTCTGTAACCTCCTTGTTGATTCTATCCTCCTTGGTGCCACCAATCATAAAACGGCTCCTCATCATTATTTTGATGATTAGGAAATTCCAATGTGCCAACCTGTGATTGGCGCATTGGAATGTAGTGTACCCTACATACGTGTACCCTACATACATGTAGGGTACACGAACCTCGTTTTAAAAGATCCCTGTAATCTTTTCCCACTATTAACTTCCGTTAGACAGGAACTAAATTAAGTACTTACAGTACACGTTTATTTCAGAGAAAGGTTGTTACCCAGGTTTGTATGACTGTGCATAATAGAGAGTCGGAGATTATAAGTACTTAAAAGTTTACTTTTTTTTACAGAAATAGACATTATAAACTAGGCATTGACCCTAATAAACCATCTCATTAGTTATAAGTTATGTTGTTTTTATGTTGATGAACAGTGAGGTTTTGTCTTTTGACAGCACCCAAACGTAACATAGCTGTTGTCTAACATATCTATTGTCACAGTTCAAAAGGTGAATTGTGACGGATTTATCAATAAGATCGGTGTAAATCATTGAAGTAAAAATACCACACTTATTGGACGATTTTAATTGAATTTAGAGCCAAGGCATCCTTTCTCACGGTACATTACAATACAAGGTCTGTCTACTTCTATTACTACCAGTACTCATGTAGCTGTAATATTTTGGCAGAGTCCCTCCCTGAACAGACGTGTCTGCAGTACGCAGAAGATGGAAACTGTGACTTCTACACGGGATGTTTAGAAGATAAATACAGCTGTGGAGACAAGGGCTACCCTGTTGGCTATGGGCATCGATACTGTACCAAGTTCAGCACATACTACAACGAATTCAACGATGAGGTAAATTGTATGACATTTATGTGTCTCGGAATGGCATACCATATCATGAACACTAACATTTGATAACCTAGGCAAAAAATGTTGTGTTTCCTGTTTCAGTCCTGAAAAAATTAGGGTCGGTAGGTAGGGATTATCTCTTTTTTTTTGGTCACACTTTGGCAATGTCTAGTGATCCAACTCATACCAAGGAACTCTTATACAATACATTTTAACAAAGTAAAACTTACATGAGGACACTTTTAAAAGTCAATGATGGAAAACTGATTGTATGTACAATGTTTCATCACTCAGGTGTCAGATCATGGATCTCGAAAAGGTCAATCAGCTTGCAAAATTTATGTATCCTTGCTACGGTCCGAATTTTTTTATAGGGTCGGTCGGGAAACAGGAAATTCCACATTTTTTTCCTTGGCCTAAGGGATTTTGGGGAGCTTTTGAAGGACTTGTACATCTCACAGGCCTTTTTTGTTTTGTATGTCACTAATGTACAAAACGTATACAGCCTCTTGCAAAAAAGCACAACTTGTAAAAATCTTCCAAAAGTTTGACGTGTAGTGACATTGTGTCACAATTAGAAACGGTGTGTCAGTAGTAACGGTTACAAGATGATGATCTCTATGTTACAGGGGAAAGCCTGGATAGACGATGTGCGCAGGTGTCTTATGAGGGCGCTGGTGCCCATATACAAGTCCAACTCCTACAGCTGTGGTGAAGTAAAGACCCTGGCCTTTACCTCTCACCCGACATGCTACACAGAGAGTGGTGACAGGTTCTGTAAGGTCTTCTGGTCCAACAAACTAGCTCTGCTGAAGGTGTTCGAAGCCGACGACTTTTTGGGTGAAGACAGTGCCTTGGCCATAGAACAAGTGAGTAGGACAGTCAAAATATGCTTGTACTGTTAAAGAACAGACATCAGATCTAGAGTACAGTGTCATATGACTTTTCCTTTTTGGTCAATGATTCTACTTTGATACTGCTCATATGTAACTTACATAGACTTACGCAAATTTGTTTTTGCCATTTACTCTTCTCAACCACAGGGAGTTGCGAGAAAATGTATTTTTAATGGTAGAATACAGAAATACCTGTAGGCAACTTACATGTAGGTCAGTGTAATATTGTTACTGTAAACAGAAGCTGAAAAACGTAGTCTGCTACAGGCTTGGATGGGCTTAAAACTTTCTGAATTTCATGTGCAATTCCCAGATCCTGATGACAGGACTGCAGTGTTTGTGTGACTACGGAGTTGCTGATGAGATTCACCAAGTTGTGGACGCGACCAGCGACGTCTGGACTAAAGTCTTGGATTTCACAACTCAATTTTGGCGGGATGATCCAGAAGAAGGTATTTTTCTGTTTTTGTCACTAAAGTTTTTCTTCACAATGTCTCAGCTTGTCTTTTCTTTACAGATATGCAGTGATGGCAGAGCAGGTCAAAATCAAATGAAATAAAATGGCCATAAACTTTTCCCTGAATATTGAGGGCCATTGAGGAACAGTGGTGAAAAAAAAGACAACAGATGTATGAATTTGACAATACTTTCTAGCCATCCAGGCTGACTGTGAGACCAAGGCTCTACAGGGAGACTGTGATTTCTACAACTGTCTGGAGCGGCGCCACCCGTGTGGACCGAAGGGATTCGCTTCACGGGAGGGTCGGACTTTGTGTGAGGCTCTCAAGAAGAAGAAAGGACTGTTTAATGCTCAGGTGATGCTATGATAATTATTACATACCAGAATTGATGTCAAACAGGCTTTCAACTACCATGATATGTCAGTCTATCTAATACCATGATAAAGCTTAAAGTTAAAACATTTGTTCCAACTCAAGGGACTGTTCTCACCTAGAGCTTTTGACCAGTCACTCTGGCCTTCTTCAATAGACTGACCCAGTGAGACTTGTCACATGGCTTCTCTGAAGTGTGACGTCAACACTCACTCAAACGTATCTGATTATAATTAGCAATGTCGGCCTCAGTCACAGTTGAGTGACGAGTGATGGGCCCTGATGTAAATAGCCTTTTTCACTCCTCTCAGTCTATTAAAGAAGACCAGAGTGACTGGTTGAAACCTCTTTA